GGCAGACAGAATGATGTTTGCACGGCCGACATGTGCATTTGTTGATGGGAGAGGGGGAGGCGGAGCCGCGTTAGAGGGCCATTGTTATAGCTGGGTGACTGTATCATGCCAGGGGTGCAGGGTCGTAACAGGGTAGCAGGGTCAGATGCTGGAGGGGCATGTTGTCATCTGGGGGTGGGGTTAAGCCTATATAACTGCACACCAGACTGAAGAGGCTTGCACTGAGTGGGAGGGACTAAACAATCTTGCCAATTCTGGGAGTTCACTGTTCTTGATGCCTTGGTCCTGCTGCATTCTCTTTGGTGGTTGGGGCATGCCATCACATTTCAATGGACACTGTTTGGCAGTGCCCCGCCCCCTGACCTGACCCCCCCCCCCCCCCTCTGCGATCCTCCAACGGTGACTGAGATGAGCTGGTCGACCGTGTTGCAGTGATGGTAACCTGACGGACGTGGAGATGGCTGGTGGGCTGGGCGAGTACTTGCGCGAGGTGCACGCTCAGTACGGCCCCCTCGTCTCCTTCCACCTGGGCAAGCAGCTGGTGATCAGCCTCGGCACGTACGAGCTGATGGAGCAGCATAGTGGCGCCGCCGAGCGGCCCGAGCTGTACCTCGAGTTTCTGCGGCCGCTGCTAGGGCGCGAGAGTATCGTGTGGGCGGACCGAGCCGAGACGACGCGCCGCTGGCGGCTCTACCAGCAGGGTTTCTCAGAAGAGTGCCGCGCCGTGTACCGGCAGGCGGCGCGAGAGGTGAGCGCCGCCGTCGCCGCCGCCGGGGGCTGGAGGCGGCGCCGGCCGGGCTGGAGGCCTGTGTCGCGCCGCTGGGCTGGACTACATGCGACACGATGCTGCGCCCGCGCCTCTTGCCGTGCCGGTGTCGCGTCTAGGCTGGGCCGTGTCTGTGGCATGGCCCGTGCCAAATTCCACTGTCCATGCTCGGTGGGAGAAGGTGGCGTGTGTCGTGAGCTGGGTGCAGTTGTTGGTTGTTGTTTAGTGTGCCTGCTTGGCGTGTGTCGTGAGCTGGGTGCAGCTGTTGGTTGTTGTTTAGTGTGCCTGCTTGGCGTGTGTCGTGAGCTGGGTGCAGTTGTTGGTTGTTGTTTAGTGTGCCTGCTTGGCGTGTGTCGTGCGCTGGGCAGCTGTTGGTGTTGTTAAGTACGCCTGTTTGGCGTGTGTCGTGAGCTGGGTGCAGTTGTTGGTTGTTGTTTAGTGTGCCTGTTTGGCGTGTGTCGTGCGCTGGGTGCAGTTGTTGGGTGTTGTTAAGTACGCCTGTTTGGCGCTGTGCTGTCGTGGCACATACAAACTAGGTGTACAATCACCGACTTGTCATACAAGTTCGCCTAGCCCGGCATCTGCTTTGCCAGAGCGTGAGCCCAGCCTTCCACTGCGTGACACGACGCGGCTGGTTTGTGTGCTGTCCGCCCAGCGTCTGGACGCCCGCGCCCGGCGCCCCGCTGACCTTGATCAGCTGCGACTGCTGGCCGTCAGGCGGCCGGCCGCGTCTCCGAGAAGCTGCAGTCGCTCTCGTCGGAGGAGCACGTGTCGCTGCAGCAGTACACCTCGGCGCTGGCGCTGCACATCGTGGCCCGCTGCTGCTTCGGACACCACATGGACGACGAGCACAGCATGCTCAGCTTCGCGCAGGAGTACGAGATCGTGAGTGGAGGTGGGCGGCGGCCACTGGTGCCGGCGCCGGCGGGCTGCAGGCCGGACGCGCAGGAGTACGAGATCGTGAGTGGAGGTGGGCGGCGGCCACTGGTGCCGGCGCCGACGGGCTGCAGGCCGGACGCGCAGGAGTACGAGATCGTGAGTGGAGGTGGGCGGCGGCCTCTGGTGCCGGCGCCCGACGGGCTGCAGGCCGGACGCGCAGGAGTACGAGATCGTGAGTGGAGGTGGGCGGCGGCCACTGGTGCCGGCGCCGACGGGCTGCAGGCCGGACGCGCAGGAGTACGAGATCGTGAGTGGAGGTGGGCGGCGGCCACTGGTGCCGGCGCCGACGGGCTGCAGGCCGGACGCCAGAGTACGAGATCGTGAGTGGAGGTGGCGGCGGCCCTGGTGCCGGCGCCGGCACCTGCAGGCCGGAGGATCACGCCACACAGCGCTGCACCGCCCCGGCACACTCGCGCCCGGGGGCCGCTCGATGGCCCGCTTGGTTTGTGTTGGTCTGTTTGCGCCTGGCTGTGCCGGTCTGTAAGCCTGCCTGTGTACCGACCAGGTGGAGTCGGCGCTACGTCAGATCCCATGTGTGTGTGTAGGTGTGCAGCTGACGTTGCTGCTACGCCTGATCTGGTGTCGGTGGGCGACGTCACTGTGACAGGCAGTTGGCCCTGTGTGTCGGTAGATGACGCCGATGTGTCTGGCTGTCGTGTGCCGACTTGTGACGTCAGCTTGGCGTCGTTGCGACGCCCATCTGTCTGCAGATGACGTCAGCGCTCTGTCGTATTCCGCTGTGACGTCATTGTTCGCCGGTTTGCCGTCGCTGCGACGCCGTCTACCTGCAGATGACGTCACCGTTCTGCCATGCCCGCTGTGACGTTAGTGTGACGTCAGCTAGCCGTGGTCTTGACTCCCGCCTGGTGCGGCAGGTGACGGCCGAGGTGACGAGCGAGGCGTGCGGTCGCCAGCTGTATGAGAGCCAGCAGGACCACCTGCTGGAGGCGGCCGCCGCTCTCCGTGACGTGGCCGCCGCCATCGTCCGCAAGCACCGCCGCGAGAACAAGTCCACGGTGGGTGCGCTACCGACGCCGGCCGCCTGGCGGTGTCGGACCGGAGCGCGCGGCCCCAGCCGACACGGACTGGCCGACGACGGCGGCTCCGGTGCGGTCCACGCCGAAGTCTGGCGGCTGGCTTGGCAGTCTCGCTGCTCCGTGCGGACCGCTCTGAACTGGCTGAGATCTGGCGACTGGGTGATTACGGCATCGCCTGCGAGGGTCTGGCTTAATGTGACATCCGTGCTGACTGTCAACGAAGGGGTACACCGTTGGCAGGGCGCCCGTGTGCGCGGACCATGGAGGGCCAGCACTGCGGTGTTCAGCTCGTCACCCGCTGTCGCCAGGTGTCGCTGGTGGAGTGGGTGGCCCTCTCGGCTCAGGGCAGTCGGGCCGGCGGCGACTCGGAGGCGCACGTCAGTGACCTGCTGGCCCTCTTCATGTTCTTCTGCGAAACACTGTCGAGCGGTGAGCAGTTGTGTAAACATCACAGCATGATGTATTGCAGCCTGGCCAAAATAGGCGGGAGCAACTGCTCATTCTAATAGCTGATCATCTTCGCCATGTGAAGCGGATGTGCAGAAGGGGGATGCGATCTGAGCCGGTGTCCGCTACATCCCTTGTGTGGTCCGTGCTTTGCTCGTCACGTTTCCTCTGACTCAGTAAGGCTCCCTCTGTGGACTCCAGCTGTGCCTGCCTTGGGCAAGGCGTGACCTTCCCCGGTGGCTTATAGCAGTGTAAGCCACTATGTGGAGACGGTGCATCTTCTCAATGCTCGTCTATTTTTGTGTACATCCGCGTTCGCGCATGGGGACCTTGCTTTCGCCAGTGCGCGTCTGGTGACAAAAGTGTAAGTTTCCAAGCGGGTGTGTCTTCCGGGAGCGTGCAGCATGGGTCCCTGATGGCTTAACGCCGGGCCGCGCCGTGTGGTATGTTGGCAGGGCTGTGCTGGACGCTGTACTACCTATCCAGCGCAGCCCAGAACCGTGCAGGACGCCGTGGTGGCAACAGTTGGCCGGAGAGCAGACGGACACCGGGTCAGTGACGACGCCTCTCCGCTCTGCCGAGTCTCCAGCTGCGGGCCTCAGCTGCCGTCCTTAACTGGGCTGCTCGGCTGGGGCAATCAGCTCGAGTCCTGAGCCGTGGTCCTGAGCTGGGGGCCCTGAGCTATGACCCTAGACTGGAACCCTGAGCTGGGGCTCTGAGCTGTGACCTTGAACTGTGATCCTGAGCGGGACCCTGAGCTGAGGTCCTGAGCTGGGACCCTGACAGGGGTCTTTGGCTGGGACCTGATCTGTAGCGTGCTGCCCTGCTGGGCTGACGCCTGCCAGGGAACGGAAAACACGCTCCCCATGGCAGCTTGCGGTAGCTTGTGATAGCCTGACGTCTGTCATACGCGAGGCCGCCACCAAGTGGCCTGTGGGGAAGCCGGACCCCATTCGGGTGTTTCAGTCGTTAGATCTTCGGAAGATGTAACTCGTGTGAGGCGTATTGTGGGATGGCCTGGCGACCTGTTCTCAGATTGGCAACTGGAACAGCCTGCAGTGATGATCTTTTCAGCATTATATGTCTTTTGACGACATTTTGAGCAGTGTGGTGACCTTGCGGGTGGGACGGTGGCTTGGCAAACCATGCGGTGACCTGCAGGACCGTGTGGTGACTATCCCAGGGTAGCGGCCCTTGTGATGATCGGGTGGTTCTTGTGACCTGGTGGTGACCCGTCGGCAGGCTGCAGGACTTCATGACCGACCCTCCCGTAAGCTGGCGGACCTTGGCCATGTGGTGACCTGACAGGACTGTGGTGATCCCGTGTAGCTTTGGTGACCCAGTGGGCCTGTCGTGATTTGGTGGGGCTGTGGTGACCTGGTCGGCCTGTTGTGACACGGTGGGGCTGTGATGATCTGCTCGGCCTGTGGTGACCTGATGGGCCTGTGGTGACCTGATGGGCCTGCTGTGGGCCTGTTGTGACCCAGTGGACGTGTGGTGACCGAGTAGACCTGTGGTGACCCTGTGGGCCTGTGGTGACCCGATGGGCCTGCTGTGGGCCTGTTATGACTCAGTGGACCTGTGGTGACCGAGTGGACCTGTGGTGACCCTGTGGGCTTGTGGTGACCCATTGTCACGTCGTCGGCAGGCTGGTGGGCCGCGTCATCCGCGAGGCCTGGCGCTTGAGCTCGGTGGTGCCGCTGACGGCGCGTTGCTACAGCTCGCCGTCGGCCGTCCAGGGCCACACGCTGCCGGCGCGCACGCCGATCGTCAGCGCCCTCTGTGTGGCGAACACGGCCGCCGGCTGGGCGCGTGCCGACAGGTTGGTGCCGCCCGCCGCCGGCACACGCGCGGGCAGGCATGTGTCGTCTGTACGGACCCGGCAGCTGTCCGCCCTGTCACACTGACACCGGCAGTGGGGGTTTGGCATTTGCTGTGGTGTTTCCCACAAGGTGTGTAGTTGGAGCGGTGGCCAAAAACTGACTGTGGACCATGTCATGAGAAGCCGCCAGCTCCGAATGATTATTCAAACACGGCGTGTGTTAGCTGTGGTCTGATTTGTGAATGACGGTGCCCTGGAAGAATGCGATTGGTCACGCCCATAGTGATGAACTGGTGACCTCAGGTTTGACCCGGCCGATTCGAGGGCGACACGCCGCCGCTGGAGCTGAACCCGCTGCCATTCCTCTCCAAACACGACGACATCGAGGGCGCCTCCAGGTGAGCGCCGCCGCCCGCCGCCACCGTGACCCGGCCCCTGCGCCCGCACGCGTGCGTCCCGGTGTGCTGGAGTGTGCGCCGCCCTGCAGGGCTGAGTGCCGACAGTTGGGGAGTTTAACGGTTTATCGGAGTTTGACCCCAGGCCGCTTGATCCGAGTCATTGGCGAGCTCACAGGCCGAGCGAGTCTCCCCCACAGTGTGAGAGGACGTTCTCAGCGTGAGAGGCCCCGACATGGACGTCACGCTTTGTAGAAGTTAAAACTCACGCGTGTAGTGATTAGAGCGCCACGAGCGTGACGTGGTTTTTAGATTAAAACCAAGGCCATGTAATAAGGTATGGTCATCCGGGAATTTTTCCGGCACCTTTCGTTCACCATTACAGCGACGTCACAAAGTCGCAACCTGGCATCACAGCGCCGGCTGCATTACCTTCGCGTCTGCTACACCGGTGCACCTTCTAACAAATGCGTCTGGTGATCGCCACAGGGCACTTCAAGAAGTAATATGAGGACATATGAAAGGGGATTTTTGTCACGCCTGTCGTTAAACAGCGAACATGGGCCTAGAAACCAGGAACCCATGTGCCATGGCACTCCCATTTGCTGAGGATGCCAAACATTGAGTCCATGGCGATGCATTGAAGCTGGTCAGCCTACAGCTGCTTAAATGCGGGTTAGCGAACCTGGCCAAGGTCCAGTCATTGCCAAAGGAAGAACTAAGTGGCACCAGGATTATCATCCGACCTGTCGCGTTGAGCCTCAGCACTATACATAATGACGCGCTGGGTTGCACTGGTGTGCGATTGAGGCATTTTGAGACGACGGAAGTGGTACGCTGCCCGGTAGAACATAGGACATTGTGGACATTGCACGTCGCGTCAGCTATGCCACGAAGCCTCCGAAGGTCGCGGTGCATGACGTTAATCAAGATCATATCCGTCACGCCATGCGGCCAAGTTATCGAACACACGTATGACTCATAATTTGCCATACTTCACTTAAACGATTCTTGCGCCACCGTACACTTCATTGTGCACATTTGGCGAGGATCCAAAAAAACGGGGGGGGGGGGAGAGGGAGGGAAAAATTATTGCGCCCAGCATGCACTTCATTGTGCACACTTGGCGAGGACCCAAAGAAACGGGGGGGGGGGGGGGAGAGAATTCTTGCGCCCAGCATGCACTTCATTGTACACACTTGGCGAGGACCCAAAAAAAACAGGGCGGGTGGGGCGGAGCTCACATAAGCACAACGATGTTCACTTCGCGCTGTCCACCTGACGTCGCACCTGTTTAGCTGCGCGCCTGGCAGTAGCTCGCTCAGCCCCAGCCTGATTAAGGCATCTGAGGTGCAGATGGATGCGCGTCTTCATTAGCTTCCGAGCAATCCGCTTGTCCAGCGCAGAGCTTTCTTAGTAGGAGCTTTGTGTGTCGCGGTCCACGACGCCAATGTCTCGGTCCATGCCTCGGTCCATCACTTGTTGGAACACGATCTCGAAAGCCTCGACAACGCTTGTCCAGGCCGGCAACGGCACCATCAGACCACCCTGTCTAATCGTGTGTATCCAGCTGTCTGGGACACAGTTGGGTGGTGCCTCTCGGGTCGACAGTCCCATACTTGGATCGAGGTGTTTGCACTTCACCGCCACGAAGCCGGCAACGAAGGCCAGCGCCCCGTGCTCGACGTTCGTGTCTTCGTCCATTTCGTCGCCGCAGTGGGGGCCATTTTCGGTCCTCTCGCCGTCACCGCCATGGAGCTTGCCTTTGCCCGATTCGTCGAACCCGCCGTTCTCGTCCACTTTGTTCAGGATGGGCATTGGAGGCATCGCGGCTGCTTGCTGGTAGGCGGCCTCCACGTCGTCCGTATGCGCTGCCGCTTCCACCACAGCTGGGTCTTGGATCTACGACACAACGATACAGCCATTTCCGCGTACCTATCAGGCGCATTAATCAGACCCTTTTACATATCACCAGTTTTGGTTTTCATTACGAGAGCAAAACGTCTTGGACCCGGACATGCCCATTCTTTTGTTATGGCATGCTTGTTTTTATACACAACCACCTTTTTGTGATCCAGTGTGACATAATCCTAGCGGGTAAGAGGGACAGTCAACGGCCGACGAGTACTGCACTGCGTGCACCACTCTGATATCTCCCTCTCCAGGTCATAACCGCGCGACGTAAAAATACACGAGAACAGCACGGCCCTCCGAGGCTCCAAACCCCCCCCCCCCCCCCCCCATCCTCCCCCGCCTCCAATCGTGTCTGCCCGTGAGGTTCAAGGCCTGTGGCGTAGGCACGGCAGCAGTTTTTTACCACGATATTACTGTATGTAATCCCGGAGTTTGGTGACCAGGCAAATAGCCTTTATTTGAAATCTCAGACACCACCATGAACAGTAACACGAAGAGCCCAAAAGTGGCTCAAAAGTAACAAGACTCGCAAGAAGCCGAGTGAACATGTACGGTACGTAGGTGAAAGAACTGCACAGGGCACCAGGGCAAACCAACATTAGAATCTTATTGATGTGCTAGGTACTGAACATACCAACGATTGTGGGGTTTGTTGGTCAGCTCACAGTGCGTAGATGTACTGTCAATGGGGCTTGGACTCGCTCGTGCAAACATACCCCTCCACCCGTCGCAAACCCTGGCTACGTCCCTGACCCCACCCCCCCCCCCCCCCCTCCGCCCGCGTAGCATGAATGGCTGTGCCACTTGTGTGGTAGTCAGGCCCCACTTCGTAAACAAGATCATGATCGGACAATTTCGCTTTAATCTCGTATTGTAGTCTACGAACTGCACAGAGCGGCACGGTTTATGCAGGCAGTAGTGACTGTGAATCGGGTTCAAATATTTCTGCATGAAACAGGCGGAAATTTTCCTTTTAAGCACACGCATGCTCACTTTGGCGTGCCGGCGATGTCCAGTCGCATGGAAGGAACTGCACTTGGTCGAAGGCACGGCTTAACACTGGGTATGAGACGGGCCTTAACCAGATGGCCAGGATCATAGTCATAATCTTGAAAATGATCAGACCAGATTATCGCATTCTCCGCATTTATAATGTTAGTCCAAGAGGAACGGTTCGCTCATGTTTTCGGGACAGTTGTATCGTTTTTTTATAGAAAAGTAAAAAAGGTTTGTATTGTGCCGTTTCACATTCTTGCAAGAAGCCACTTCACATAATAGCATCCTGCTGCCAAAAAACTGCCTTTGATGATCACTTTTGCCCCACGCTCACACACCACTTCAAAATTCTCCCATCCGCGACATAATAGCTCGCACTGAGGCAACACAATACAAACTTGATGCCACACTGCACGATAATCACGTTATTACATTCAAGACATTACATTGGTACTACGCGGCCTTCACGATAACAGACAAGACCAACCACAGCATTTCTGCGCGACGACTGCTTTCCACGCGGCGCAGTCGACGTTGCCATGCAACGCCGCAGAGCGAGCCATTGCGGCTTTGTGACGTCACCGCCGAACGTTAACCAGGCGCCAGCCCGACCAATTTCTCAAGCTGCGATGATGGCTCCCTGATTAAAACAGGACAGTTCTCGAAGAATTGTGCGGTTTGAATTGTTCTGTGGTTGCATGCAGTGCGATCAGCTGGCTTTTTTGCCGTGTTGCGTTGCGTTATCGACACAGTTTCACCGCCCCCACCTAATGAAAACGTAGCAGGTAAAGTTTTCAGCTTGCGAGGAAGCTGAAGGGCACTGGTTGAAACCGGGTCCAGGTCCGGATGAACAGACATCGCAGCAACACGAGGCTAGCGAATTTGCAATCACGCTGGCAAGAGTTTGGGTTGATGTGTGCTGACGGTCCCCCGCTACCGTGTGCAAGCGATGCGTCTGCCTTTTTTGTGATGTTCGTAAGGCTTGATGCCAGAGCCCGGCAACTGGAGCAGATGAAGACCTGGGACGAACCTCCGGGCTTTGGCGAATGCACCGGCTGCATTTTACAACATTTCAAAACTGGCGGAGACGAAAGTGCACCAGAATCAAGGATGCACCAGTAATCGACAACCACTTTTCAGGCGTTGCTATTTTTGAACCAGCCAGCGAATGCTACATCATGTTACATGAAAGGCTATATCAGCATGTTTCGCTGAGATTTCAGGAGCAGCGCGGTCTCCAGCGCAATGTTGGCAGTCAGGGATGTCATTGTTGACAGGGATGTCATTGTTGGCAGTCAGGGATGTCATTTTCCAAAATTGGTCAGGGGTACTCAGCTGAAAAGGTTGACCTATCCTGCCTACAAAACTTCATTTCTTCCCAGATTTCGACCACTTGAATTTCTCTTTTTTATTTATTCCGTAGGTCATAATTATTTTCCTGTGGATGAATGGATTTATATTTCAAGTTAATGTGAGCTGCCTTGTGAAAAGCTTAGAATTAGGTGTAATGCACATAAAAAATACATTTTGGTCGTTGGTGTCGATTGCCTGGTCATCTAGTACTTGGTTGCATTGTATTATTTTTGGCATGTACGCGATGGCACACGATAACTTACACCTGCTGTTTGCTCGCTGATGCTTTGGGCTGTAGGCTGCGCTGTCTACGCCGGTTACATGGTGCCCGGTCGCCCCCTCACCTTTCCCACAACGCACAAGCTGTCGCTGGTAATGTAAAGTGAGGAGATCAGTGAGCCCGGAATCAGTGGGCCACCGGTGATAATTCGACCTCAGGACGCTTGGACCGCGTGACTTACGCGTGCCGAGATATCAAACGGCCTGATCAGGATACAGGTCGCCGCGCAGGGTATCGCGCGTGATAACCTGGGTCTGTACCTCGCCCGCGTTCAGTCACCCCTTGCGATACGCCGCGGACTCGTCATTGACGGAGTCATGGGTCGGGTATGGCCCGTCGCCCACCTCATCCCTTATCCCTCCCGACCGGAAGAATGCG